TATTGCTGTTGACTCGGGTTGATTAGCTCAGAAATCACTGCCGTTTTTGGTGCAGAAAATCTCTGTGAGAGAGAGAGAGTGGGTTTTGGTGTCTTATGATAAAGAGTGTGACCGCGTGATTTGAAATAGTGTGTATTTATGTAAGCAAAATTTGAAATAGTGTGTATTTATGTAAGCAAATCTTGGTTAGGTTGAATATGGAGACAAGGCTTCCTTTTATTCGTCGTTAAATCGACTAGAAAACAAGATCCATCACCACTACAAGAAATCAACAATCAGTGTTTTAGCTTTTGTATTCCTATCCCCTTTTCAATTAGTTTTGTTGAGTCATTTCCTAATATCAAAGACCTTATATCTGTAGTTAAATCATAAGATTACTACGAGAAATGATCTTCCAAATACCGTGTTTACTATTTAGCTTATACTAAGAGGATGTTTGATGGGGATAAATTTTTTAGTAGATTATGATAAAAAAAATTTAAATATGAAGTTGAAAAATTGTAAGATTCATGAAAAATAGTAGCTAATATTGATTGTTTGATTTTGACTTAAATTAAAATCAAATTTTAATCTAAACCGAGCATGATTTTAATCTAAACCAAACATGCTTTAAATGCTGATGACATGATAACAAATCGGTAGGCTTCGTACTCGAACACGAGTGATCAATTTGATTACTCCACCACCTATATTCCTTCTCAAATATATAGAATAAGAAAAAATATTTCGCAACTTTTGCTCAACATGAGAAAAGTCCATTGGCTTGTCAAGCTCTTAGATGACTTGATAGGAACAAAAATCGTATGGATGGGTTGTGAAGACTTTTCAATTGTCCTAAATCTATGTTTGGTCCTCAATTATTCAAAAACTTATTTCAACCGCATGTTTCTTCATAAAATAATGTTACGTGTAAATCAATTTTTTTTAACCACATATTCTCCAAAAAAAACACGATTCCATAATACATTTTTACAAAATGGGGATCAAACAAAATGTCGGGATTTGTTCATTCTATTTCATAGCATCTTGGCAATTTGATGTCTTGGCAATTTGATGTAGACATGATGTTAAACTTGGTATGAGTTTTTGAAATTTGAATTATTTTCTTAAAAGGTTGAACCCCAACTTTAAGGGCCCCTACCCTAGAACATCGTGAGGGAGGTAAATCGCAGGTTATGTCTCCAAGGGTACAGGGTGGAAGGTTGTTTGTACACTTGCACTTATCCAAAAGCCAAATCCATATTTCAGGAGATGTGCCCTGGGGGCGAATTATTTTCTTAAATTGGATTGAAGTTTGTCAATTTGTTTAAGTAGCTTATGTTTGGTGGGAATTAAAATCATATTTTTAGTAGAATATAAGAGAACTTGATACGATGTGTGGTTAAAAAATTGTGGGGCTCATAAAACATGTGGTTGAAAATTTGTGGAACCCATGAAACATATGGTCGAAATGAATTTATGACTTTGATTTAAATTAAAATCTAAATTGTAATTGGTGCCGACTTAATAATTAGAAACAGAATGCAAATAAAATTAAAAAGTAGACTCGTAGAAAACAATAATTTATGAGATTACCACTTGCAAATAAATGTGTAACATCGAAATCTTCAAGGTCAAAAGTTTAATTAAAATTGTTTTTGCTTAAAAAATGTTTTTTAAATTTAAAACTAATTTTTTTTATCTAGTCTATTTTTTTTAATGATTATTGTTATCTTTTTTGTTGTTATTTGTCTCATAAACTTTGTTAAATTACTAAATTCACATTCTAGTTAACATGATCATCTACATAGTAAAGCGGGCATGGACAAGAACAAAATCTTTTGGGCAAAAATTACACTATAGCCCATGGTACGTAATGTCACGGCACAACGTACTCGATCTATCTAGGGGTCATTGTACTCGACTTATATTGGCACAAAGTAAAAGGCCTTAAACTACTAAGCTAGGAATATATTAATTGTGTATAGTTCGTGTCGACTTTAGTTGCTAGGACACTAGGATTTTTTCACTGCCAACTGACTTGAATTCCAGTCACACAGGGGTGGATCCAGACGACTTGGGTTAGGGGGTCAAAAATAAACGTAATAGCAAGCATGAACGTACAAATATATTTCCTTTGTATTTGCATATTCAATATTTTAAATTGAGTGGATAATATAACGAAAGATATACAGAAAAATACGAGTATTGTTTTGTTTAAAGATTTATCTGATATACACGTCAACATGAACGGCAATGCAAGTCTACATACTACAATAGAGTTCATGAGTAATAATTACATCTTCGGCCAATTATTTAGTTTTAATAGTCTACTCAATAATTAGGTTTTAATAATATTTATTTTGTTATCAGTTTGTCATTGTTATTATAATTATTTAGTTTTAGTTTGGGGAATAAAGGTAGGAAAATAGAAACATAATCATATACAACTCTTTTGAATATTTTACTTTTGAGTTTTGAATATATAAAATGTGAGATTTTATTTATTTATTTATTATTATTATTTTTACTGGGGATTGGTTTCGAAGGTGTGCAAATTTCAAATTGTTTGTGCATAGGGTGTGAGATGTGAAGATTGAGCGTACATCTGTTCATGTTGATAGCACATTCAACATGAAATCTCGAGCTAAATACAAATATTTCAATGGTGGATGAGACGGGATTTTACACCATCAGTGTAACAATATATGATATTTCCACAGGGTGATGGGGCAGGTTATTGCTGAAAATGCGTAGAAGAAGGCATTGTAAGATGGATTATTTTTTACTTGTGGCCCTCAACTATAGATGTTAGAATGCATTTCACTCTTTGCGAAGTCTCAACCCAGATTTTATTTGTGCTCCAAATGCATCTATTTTGTTCTTTAAATCAATTTAAATCTTGATCTAGCGATTAAAAAAAATGAATATTTGAAAATATATTTGCAAAATGTGCAACTCACAAAATTTGACTAACTTTTAAATACAATCAAATATGCTCTATGCTTTCTTGACGCATTTTCTTTGAAAATTTATTTTATTTTAATTGATTTATATATTCCCACTTTGGCCCCCATTTTTTTTTCCAAATTTTAATATTTAGAATAGTATTTTTTTGAAGAATGTGTGGTTGAAAAAAATGAAAAGTTTTCGATTTACGTATAATATTATTTTATGAAAGATTGTGTGTTTGAAAATAAGATAGAGGAAAAAGATAAAAAAGAGTTGGTGCCAAACGGGGCATAGAAAGCAGTCGTACAATCAACTATTTTTGGACTTTAACTCTAAACAACCAAGCTGGTCTGTCCTTGGAATTTCAAGACTAATCATTTCGATCCAATCTTGAAAAAAATCATGAATCTGAGTTCACCCCAACTTGCCACGTGGACAGCACTCCAGTTAAAGTTTCTTAACAATGTAATTTTCGTAGGAAATTTCTGCTCGTATAGGTACAGCACTTAGGACCGTACAAGCTCATGAGATTGGCCACATCTTTTAAAGTAACATACACATGTTTGGTAATAAAAATTTTGATTTTAATTTAAGTCAATCAATAATTAATTTTAATTATATATTTTATAGGATCCACAACTTTTCAATCACATATCTCATTAACTTTTATTAAAATCTACTAAATATTTTATTTAATCATCACCAATATGACCAAAAAGGCTTATTTATATAAATAAATAGACAAAAGTGATTCTATAAGAATTTTGTGGAAAGACATTAGTTTTTACAAAGTTTTTATTTTTCGAGTCTTGCTAGGAAATACCTTGGGAGACTCCATTTCATTCTAGAGCCCTGTTTATTTTTCATTATGTCATATTAAAATGAAAAATATCACTGTTATTCATCACATTGGCCACCACATTTGAATTTCTATCTTTTGTTTGAGGTCCGTAACGACTATATTTTTCATTTTCATTTTTACATAAATAAGAAAAAGCGGAGCCTAGAAAAAACGAGTCTAAGGCATGTCATGCGGCTCATGCCCGTACCTTAAAGAATTTCACCCCATTAATAAAGCCAACCTAGTAAGATGGGGACTCAAACTCACTCAACTAGCAAGCTTGAGGAACATAAGTCAATTTGATAGAATCGACATACTCTTTCCATACAATTTAAATGTACGTAAATTTCAAATTTGTTGACCCTAAAAATCTGAACAATTCTTTGTTAACAATCTCTTGTATCATCCTCATTCATCCATATGTTATCTGCAGACTTGTACCCATATTGTTAGGTACCAAGGTTGTCGTACCAAGATAAAGGGCCGACAAACTGTTGGTAAAAGTCAATTGTCGAAATAAGAAAATAGCAATTTTACGGAAGAACGAACTTGAGAGAGTGGCATGTAGATTTTGGCTAGAATTTAGAAAATAACCGAGTTGGTCATAGAAGCCCAACTCTTACAGACCCTCTACCGAGTTGGGGTCTCTTTTTTTTTTTTTGCCATTTTCTATTGCACTGGGCCCCGCATGGTGCCTACCAATGTGAGGAGTCTGTAATTCCTCTGTACACATGGATTTATTCGTTAGAAAGTAATGTACTTGTACCTCTTAACTACGAATGAATATTTATTATAGGTGAGAATCCATGTTGAATTAGGTTAGGATGTTGTAACCATAAGTCATACACGTTGCTTCCCCGTGGATGGTAAGAACAGTATGAATTAAATATAATTTAGTGTACTACGGTCAAGTTTTGAAGGAAGTATTGCACCTAGGCGCGACAAAAATAATAAAATTGCTGGTTAAAATTTTCGTTTGGGATGCTATAATCGAAAATTAAATTAGAACTAAACAAATTGTGAATTTCAATACGATCAGAATTATTATCCAATTAATTTTAGTTCAATTTTGATTTTTATTCGATCTAATAATTCTGCTAACTTCTCTACTATTGAACGTCTACAATTTTTTATTTTATTTTATTTTATTTTATTTATTTATTTTTGAAAAAGGTGGAACTCAGAAAATGCAATTAGAACCGCGTCTGTACGCGGAAAGGAAACGATACAGAAATCAATGAATCGGTGGGCGAATAAAACAGTATTGTAAAACAAATATCTCTCCTAATTATATTCTAATTCCTTGTCCCACCGCTACTACAATCTCGACTTACCATCTTCCTCCACAATCCCCACTCACGCACCCCCACCAAATCTCCCTTTTCTTTCTACTTCTGGATTTCTCTGTCAATTCAAGAATTATAGGGCTTGGTTTTCGTTAGATCTGTCAATTTAATTGCCCAATTTTGAGTTTTTTCGTTTCATTTTTTAATTTTATTTTCTGGGATCCGTTGCTTTCGTGTTTGTTGAATTCATTAGGGTCTCATTATTTTGAGTGTGATCTGGGTTTTAGTTTGTTGAAATTCTGGGAAAATAAATTATTTCTGAGGCCGAAAGTTAGGGTTTTATGCAAAGTCAATTATTATGTTTTGGGGTTGGATTATGTTTTTTTGTTTGATTAAGAGTTAGGTTAGGGTTTTGTTTGAAGATATAGCGTTGAGGAGAGATGGTGGGATCGGATGGCTTGAATGTTTCGCCTTCCCCGTCGCAGCAGAAGGAAAAGCAGTTGCCGAATCAGTGGGGAGTGACGAAACCTTTGTCGCGAGCGGGACCCTTGGAGTTGGATATTCAGAGAAGCAAGGAGTTGGAGAAGGTTTGGATTTTGAATTTTTGTTTAGTTTATCGTTTTGAAATTGAAATTTCTGTTTCGTTTGGGATTCTGATATGTTGTGTTTGGTGGATTTTAGTTTTTGGTGGATGCGGGACTATATGAAAGTGCAGAAGAAGCTGCAAAGAGAGAAGAGGTTCTGTGTCGACTAAAACAGGTGTGTTAGTTCATGAGACCGCGATGCTTTTGTTTGTGTTCGAACTTACATATTGTCAATGAGGGACTGCAATTGTAATTTATCAGTATTCAATACATAAATAATTGGACCGGAGATGATTTAATTAATAAGAAGGGGGAAAATAATTCTACTTAAAAAACGGTATACTAGTCTGAATTACTGGTTAGCAGAATAGTAGGCAACCTAGCAGTTTTGATGAAAATGGGTGGGTCAAAACGGGTGATCGATGATCTAGACGTATCCACTCATTCATAAATGGTTAAGAGCTTATAAGATCTTGTTTCAAGCTTAACCAAGCAGACTTAAGCCGTTTGAGACAGTAATTGATGACTAACACATAGAAACTACCTATTTTAGCATGATTTAACAGGTCTGAAAATGAACAAGGAGTCTTCTAGTTGAGTGTGTCAATTCAAAGAAAGGCGAAACTTCTATTGAACTATTCAAGGGCTTTTACACCAAACTCTTGTGGCCATTTTGATCATGGAAATTGCGTGCGATGCCAAGCATAAGTTGAATTCTGACATCTTGAATTCATTTGTGATTTGGCAAAGATTCTCAAACTTGAGCTAAATAATTTTTTTTCCAGTAGTAATAGTTTATATGTTACTGTCTGACTTAATAATGAATGTGTGTAGTCTACATGACAAATACATATTGTTGGTGTCTGATCTTAAGTTGCCTCCTCGGACCAAGTGTAGACCCAGTCCAAAGTAATTAAAAAAGCTTAACTGTCAGAAAAGCCATGCATTTGAGGTAGGATTACAGGGGCCTTGCCTTGTCAAGGTGGCCAACACTGCTGCCATTTGCAGATATCATTATGAGTAAATTGGACGAATGTTTCCCACTAACACCGCCATTTCCACCAATCATAAGGAAGTAATTGTCTAGGTTGCAGACAATGAAGACCTAGGATGCAGGCTATGATTTAGGTGTCATGATGGTCTGTCCTCGTCGAATTCTCGCACTAAACTAATGGAAATATCGCTAATAGGAAACAACACACATCTAGAAAACGGACATGGTAGCTCGACAAGACTGAGGGCGGCAGGCTCCTGTCCTAAGGGCTATATAAGGAAGCAAAAGCTTCCGAAAGGGAGGCTGAGCAAAACATTCTGTGTTTAATACATTATCAAAGATCACTCAATGAAAATCATCCGTTCTTGACTATATTCCAGCAATTAAACACAATTATTTTATCAAAATTCCATTAAGTTGATTTAAAATTGCCACGTAAGTTTTAGTCATCAAAACATATCGATGTTTTTATGTTTTGTCATATTCATATTAACTTACATTCTTGGATCTGGAACATTCTTGGATCTGGACGATATTTATACTGGATTGTCGTTTGCATTTAGATTGTAAAAGACTGGGTGAAAGAACTTACGCGCGTGAGGGGGTACACCGATCAAAACCCTCATGATTCCTTCCCTGATTTTCCAGAACTCCATCTTTTTTTTATCCCTATTTTCAGCATAATTTGAGTTATGCTCCACATTTTCCTCGTCTTTCTTCATTCCCAACAGGCCCCTCAACCACCTTGTAGCTTTCCCCATTCTCTTCTCTTCAAGAAAGCTATGAACACAATGCTGTCACAGTATAACATACAAAGATAGTGAGAGAGGATGTGTTTGAATATTAGGGAGTACAATGTTAAGGACACTTTGTTAATATTTTGAATATTAAGGTGGTCCATCATCTCCTTCATTATTGGATATTAACGACCTTCTCATAACTGCCCATTGTGGTAACCGTTCATATTCCATAACTTCTTTGATGGGAAGAAGTTTATAAATGGAAAAGATTGGTATTAGTTCCCAAGTCTGGATTTTCATGAATGTAAACCATCACAAAGAATTCTTGAAGACTTGGAAACACCAAATACAATTCCAAATTTTGCAGTTTAAACGTCAATGGTTGGAGGTTAGTTCATATTTTCATTTTCCACATTTGATCTATATGTTATTTGTTTATCTACACACGATAGATCAAGATAGAGTTTAACACACTTGTCCCTCATCTCGTGTAGCGGATTAAACAGTGTAAAACCAAAGAACCACTACACTATGGCCTTAGAATCTTTTACATGTTGCAAGCATATTAGTAATAATGTAAAAGCAGGAACAAAGTGTCATCAAACCTTAAAAGAATTGATGGATAAAGACTGGATTAATTTTTAGAAATTTTTAAATCTGACACGGTCGCGTGAAGAACTGGATTACAGGACAAAAAAGGCATCTTAGATTAAAAATAAGAAAAAGAAAAACGATAGATTTAAAAAAGATCAAAATCCTGCCAACCCAAACAACTGAACAAGCCAGAAAAATACAGAAAATCAATAGAAAGGTTTGACTAAGAGTGTAATAATAACCTAGAGAGAAATCAAATGTCTCAAACATTCAAACCATAGTCACTTAAACAAACCTTTCAAACACTAGCAAACTTTCTCCAAATATTTGATTTGTTATAACCGTCATCCCAACCTTTTTAAACGTTGCAGATGAGGCTCCAATAGATGAAAAACATCCAATTTATAGTTAGTTGACCAAAAAATTGAAATTGACCACATTTTTAATATTTTTATAAAGGGCAAAAGAGTAACTTTTTATTTACCAAATTAAATAAAAACACTAATTAAATTTAAAAACCGAAAAAAAAGAAAAATGGAAAAAATGGTTTCTTCTTTCTCCCACCTCTTCTCCAACCTACCCAATCTCAGCCCTACCTTCATCTTCATCTTCACCCTAACCAAAACCACCACCATCACGATTACCACCACCATCTCTCCCTTCACCTGCTAGTCACCCAAGACTATGAATCGCTGTCTGCATATTTTTCAAATCAAATTTTCTCAAATTAGTTTTGCAAAATGAATTCTTAAAATTGAATCTAATATTCCTCTCTGAGTCAAATTGACCAAGAATCCGATGCCCAAAGATGGCCAAGGCACAGCCAATGCACATGTGATCGTGGACTGTGGACTTCAAGGCCCGTACCAAGACAATTTTCAATGATCTCAATCCTCAATGGGGCAAGAAGCTCTAAAGATTGCTGGGAGCACTCAATCTAGTGAAGAAGTGTCTTTGATTTACTATCTGTAGGAGATCTCGAAGTGTTTTCTCTCAGATTTGGAATCGAACCAAAGTGGAGGAAACGAGAAGAGAGATTTTGCCAATGAGGCCATAATGATGGCATCATCAGCCAAGACATGGTTGAGGAAGGTGGTGATTGGGATGATTATGGAGGATTTGTAAATGTTTTTGTTCATTAGGGCGGTGGTGCTTTTTTCGGTGGTGGAGGGGATGGTGGTGGTTGGTCCTCTCCCTAAGAAAGAGAGTGGGCGGAAGAAGAAACATTTTTTACCCTTTTTTTCGATTTTTAAATTTAATTAATGTTTTTATTTAATTTAGTAAATAGAATGTTACTATTTTGCCCTTTATAAAAATATTTAAAATGTGGTTAAACTCAATTTTTTGGTCAAGTAATGGTAAATTTGATGTGTTTCCATCCATTGGGGCCTCACCTACAACGTTTAAAAATGTTAGGGATGACGGTTGCAACAAATCAAATGTTTGGAAAAAATCTGCTAGTGTTTAAAAGGTTTGGAATCTCTGCTACAATTATCCCTATTTTAATTCAGTGAAAATTATTGACAATTGTCACACACATGATAATTTATTATTTAAAATGTATAGTTGAAAATGAATTTCAGTGTATGTTTGGTAGGAATTAAAATTGGATTTTTTTGGTAGATTATGATAGAAGTTTTTGAAATGTGTGGTTGAAAAGTTGTGGGACTCATGAAAAATACAGATAATATTAATTGTTTGACTTTGACTTAAATTAAAATTAGATTTTAATATCTCCCAAAAAAGCTCCCATTTATAAATTTGTCGAACTTGAGGCTAATTTTGTGGATTTTGGGTCCCCATATTGCTGTTGACTCGGGTTGATTAGCTCAGAAATCACTGCCGTTTTTGGTGCAGAAAATCTCTGTGAGAGAGAGAGAGTGGGTTTTGGTGTCTTATGATAAAGAGTGTGACCGCGTGATTTGAAATAGTGTGTATTTATGTAAGCAAAATTTGAAATAGTGTGTATTTATGTAAGCAAATCTTGGTTAGGTTGAATATGGAGACAAGGCTTCCTTTTATTCGTCGTTAAATCGACTAGAAAACAAGATCCATCACCACTACAAGAAATCAACAATCAGTGTTTTAGCTTTTGTATTCCCATCCCCTTTTCAATTAGTTTTGTCGAGTCATTTCCAAATATCAAAGACCTTATATCTGTAGTTAAATCATAAGATTACTACGAGAAATGATCTGCTAAATATCGTGTTTACTATTTAGCTTATATTAAGAGGATGTTTGATGGGGATAAATTTTTTATTAGATTATGATAAAAAAATTTGAAATATGCAGTTGAAAAATTGTAAGATTCATGAAAAATAGTAGCTAATATTGATTGTTTGATTTTGACTTAAATTAAAATCAAATTTTAATCTAAACCGAGCATGATTTTAATCTAAACCAAACATGCTTTAAATGTTGATGACATGATAACAAATCGGTAGGCTTCGTACTCGAACACGAGTGATCAATTTGATTACTCCACCACCTATATTCCTTCTCAAATATATAGAATACGAAAAAATATTTCGCAACTTTTGCTCAACATGAGAAAAGTCCATTGGCTTGTCAAGCTCTTAGATGACTTGATAGGAACAAAAATCGTATGGATGGGTTGTGAAGACTTTTCAATTGTCCTAAATCTATGTTTGGTCCTCAATTATTCAAAAACTTATTTTCAACCGCATGTTTCTTCATAAAATAATGTTACGTGTAAATCAATTTTTTTTAACCACATATTCTCCAAAAAAAACACCATTCCATAATACATTTTTACAAAATGGGGATCAAACAAAATGTCGGGATTTGTTCATTCTATTTCATAGCATCTTGGCAATTTGATGTAGACATGATGTTAAACTTGGTATGAGTTTTTGAAATTTGAATTATTTTCTTAAAAGGTTGAACCCCAACTTTAAGAGCCCCTACCCTAGAGTATCGTGAGGGAGGTAAATCGCAGGTTATGTTTCCAAGGGTACAGGGTGGAAGGTTGTTTGTACACTTGCACTTACTCAAGAGCCAAATCCATATTTCAGGAGATGTGCCCTGGGGGCGAATTATTTTCTTAAATTGGATTGAAGTTTGTCAATTTGTTTAAGTAGCTCATGTTTGGTGGGAATTAAAATCATATTTTTAGTAGAATATAAGAGAACTTGATACAATGTGTGGTTAAAAAATTGTGGGGCTCAGAAAACATGTGGTTGAAAATTTGTGGAACCCATGAAATATATGGTCGAAATGAATTTATGACTTTGATTTATATTAAAATCTAAATTGTAATTGGTGCCAGCTTAATAACCAGAAACAGAATGCAAATAAAATTAAAAAGTAGACTCGTAGAAAACAATAATTTATGAGATTGCCACTTGCAAATAAATGTGTAACATCGAAATCTTCGAGGTCAAAAGTTTAATTAAAATTGTTTTTGCTTAAAAAAAGTTTTTTAAATTTAATACTAATTTTTTTTTTTATCTAGTCTATTTTTTTTAATGATTATTGTTATCTTTTTTGTTGTTATTTGTCTCATTTTTTCTTAAGTAAACATTGTTAAATTACTAAATTCACATTCCAGTTAACATGATCATCTCCATGGTAAAGCGGGCATGGACGAACAAAATCTTTTGGGCAAAAATTACACTATAGCCCATGGTACGTAATGTCGCAGCACAACGTGCTCGATCTATCTAGGGGTCATTTTACTCGACTTATATTGGCACAAAGTAAAAGGCCTTAAACTACTAAGCTAGGCATATATTAATTGTGTATAATTCGTGTCGACTTTAGTTGCTAGGACAATAGGATTTTTCACTGCCAACTGACTTGAATTCCCGTCACACAGGGGCGGACCCAGACGACTTGGATTAGGGGGTCAAAAATAAAATTTTAGGATATCTTCTAATAAAAAAAAGCTAAGCAAATTTTTTCCCCAAAATCTAGAGGGTTAATTGCCCCTATAATCCCCCCCCCCCCCCCGGTCCGCCCCTGCCGTCATACACTTTCATTTCTAACATAAGCGTAATAGCAAGCATGAACGTACAAATATATTTCCTTTGTATTTGCATATTCAATATTTTAAATTGAGTGGATAATATAACGAAAGATATACATAAAAATACGAGTATTGTTTTGTTTAAAGATTTATCTGATATACACGTCAACATGAACGGCAATGCAAGTCTACATACTATAGCAGAGTACATGAGTAATAATTACATCTTCGGCCAATTATTATGTTTTAATAGTCTAGTCAATAATTAGGTTTTAATAATATTTATTTTGTTATTAGTTTGTCATTGTTATTATAATTATTTAGTTTTAGTTTGGGGAATAAAGGTAGGAAAATAGAAACATAATCA